CTTCCGAGGACTGCTCCTGAGAGGAGCAGCTCTGAGAGAACTTGTGACTGACCCAAGGTCACTCCGGCAGCTGCATGTGGAGGAGTGGGGAATCAAACCCGGTTCTCCCAGATTAGAGTCTGCTGCTCCTAATCACTATCAGTCCAGTGGGTCTCTGATGTGTAGACTGGAATATAACTAAACTAGAGGTTCCAAACATCGTACCCGTGGGTGCCATGGTGCCTGCTAACACCGTTATTGACAGCTGCCAGGTGTTTTGAGGAACTGGGACGGGCCAGATTGTGCTCTTGCCCAGCGAGCAGTGTTCCCTCTAAGCTGAGCTAGTGTGAGCTAGCTCACAGTTTTTTAGCCTCTTGCTCACACATTTTTGTCTTTGCTCAGGAGGGATGGCTCCGGAGCAAACTAATTTATGCAGCGGCCAAATCGCTCGCTCACAACTTTAATGTCAGTAGCTCACAAAGTAGGATTGTTGCTCACAAGACTCTACAGCTTAGAGGGAACATAGCCAGCGAGGCTTCTGATTGACTGCTGGAGTTCTGACCGGTGGTGCAGATTTTTTTCAATGTTGCTTTGGCAGCCACTACCCCCACAGCACAAGGATCTGCACTGTGCTCACTGAAGTTAAGCTGTGGCAATCGTCGTGTGGCTGGCTCCGCCTCCCGTGGCAGCCGTTTTGTGGCTGCGCCTGCCATGCCTTGTCAGAATTCCAAATGCACTCACAGGCTCAAAAAGGTTGGGGACCCCTGATCTAAAATGTATAGGGGAAATGTAGCAGTCACATCTCAGGACCTCACAAGGTGAAACTGTGATATTAAGGGCCTCTTCGGAGGGTAGCTGTTGTACCTCTGCTTTGCAATCTATTTTTCCAGGTCCACATTCAGAGGCACTAGTCTTTTGAATCCCAGAACTAGAAGGCAAGGGGACGGGCTTGTTGTCAACCCTTGTTGTGTGAGACAGGAGGCTGGACTGGCTGGACCAATGGTATGATGCAGCAGGGCTCTTCTTATGAAGGCCTCGGCCTCTCTGCCCTGTTGTTGGCCCTCCTGAGGAACTGGTTGGCCACTGTGTGAGACAGGATGCTGGAGTAGATGGACCACTGGTCTGATCCAGCAGGGCTCTTCTGAGGTTCTTATGAAGGCCTCGGCCTCTCTGCCCTGTTGTTGGCCCTCCAGAGGAACTGGTTGGTCACTCTGTGAGACAGGAAGGATGCTGGACTAGAGGGACCACTGTTCTGATCCAGCAGGGCTCTTCTGATGTTCTTATGAAGGCCTCGGCCTCTGTGCCCTGTTGTTGGCCCTCCAGAGGAACTGGTTGGCCACTGTGTGAGGGAGGATGCTGGACTAGATGGATCACTGCTCTGATCCAGCAGGGCTCTTCTGATGTTCTCATGAAGGCCTCGGCTTCTATGTCCTGTTGTTGACTATCCAGAGGAACTTGTCGGCTACCGTGTGAGACAGGATGCTGGACTAGACGGACCACCGGTCTGATGATCCTGCAGGGCTCCTCTGATGTTCTTATAAAGGCTAACTATTCAAGGGATGCTTGTTTTCTCTGCATGCAAGGAATGATGGGGCAATGGAATGGGCCAAATCATGTGCCATCGAGCTGCCCTGACGCAGGTTTGTCACCGTGTCAAGAGGCCAGAATTAGGATTCTACGGAAGACCCCCAGATTGTGCCCTGGGGCCAGTTGTAAGTGTTTTGCTGCCGCTCCCACCCGGGAGCCAGAAGGGAGAACGCGTCTCTCTCCTTTTTGGCTCCCTTTCAAAATAGTATGGGAAAAGGCAACCAGAAGGTATGACTGAACATTCGCAAGGAGAAAGCATCACGAAAAATTCAGCTCTGCGTGCTCAGCCCATGCTCCTCCGGTGGCCCCTGTAAAGGCAGAAAGGTGGGATACACATTTTTGTCAATGAATTACAAAGGATGGCAGAATTGATTTCAACCCAAGTGCCTAGAAATCGGAGTTCATGTCACGCCTCTGTGGGGGAGTGCCGTGGATCGTGAACGCTTACAAACTTTTCAGAATTTATCTATTCCATTCACTTATACCCCACCTTCCCCCCCGCCATTGAGGACCCATGAGGCTTACCTCGTTCTCCTCTATTTTATCCTCACAACAACCCCGCGGGGTAGGTTAGGCTGCTAGAGTGTGACTGGCCAAAGGTCACCCTGTAGGGATGTCAGCCTTCAGGAGGGACTTGGGGATCTCCCAGAATTGCAGCTCATCTCCAGACCAGTGTTACTCTAAACTGAGTTACTGTGAGCCAGTTCAGTTTTTTAGCCTTCAGCTCACACATTTTTGTCTTGGCTCCGGAAGGAGGGCTCCTGAGCAAATTAGCTTATGCAGTAGCCAAATCGCTCGCTCACAACTTTAATGCCAGGAGCTCACAAAGTAGAATTTTTGCTTGGAGGGAACGTTGCTCCAGACTATAAAAATCAGTTTCCCCT